AGAACGAATAAGTTAATTGAAATACGCCGCAATTAACGCACTACATTCACTGAGAGACGCGCTTGGCGTTCCATAGAAATGACCGGCGGCTCAACTTGTCGGCGGCTCAACCGGTCATAATCCCGGTAGCCGATCATTTCGGTCGCGCTTCGTTTCGGTCGCGCTTTGTTTCGGTCGCGCTTCGTTTCTGTCGCGGTTTATTTCGAACAAATATATGGAGCGCCGAAGGAGTTGCGAAAACGAAAAATGTAATATGCCTATTCCCTATATATTTTAGTTCGTGAATCGGTGTATCATATGCATAATTATTATTGTTTTGCTATCTTTCCACTAACAAAATATCTTTCTACTATATTCTCTTTCTTCCATTTACGGTGATATATTCATGGTTGCAACATAATCTTGTAATTGAAACAATGGAATTTAGTATGTGCTTCATGCTATTCTTTTTGTTGCGTTTTCATATACTATACTTTAAATACATATTTCCTTTACAATATTATAATAACATGATCAGAACATTTATGGTAAATGGAAACGTGACAGACAAGGAAAAAAAACGTATGCGAAACTAATCTATTGAATATACTTATTCCATAGATTTTTATTTGATTCAAGCATTAATAATAAAAATTATATCAATATATATAGCAAGAAAAAAAAAACGTATCTCAAACTCGGTCAACTTCGTAACATCTGCGTTGTTTCTGTAAAAAAAGAAAAATAGCACCAAGTTATACAGTAATATAGTAACAACAAAATTTAATACTAATAAAAATAATTGTTAATAAACTAATGTTACAGTAATTTAAATGACAAATTGGCTGGTTTTTCCTGATACAATGTAAATAAATAAAAATAATAATATATAATAATTATAATAATATATAACATCATATCATATTTTAGTATTCATTTTATTTGCTGTATTTGTTATGTAGTAGAAAGCATATTATTCATAACAAAACGAAAATAAAAACCGTCCGATATATTAATTGATAGTTTAGTAATAATAGTATTAATTTTATTTGCTTTTAAGTAGCCTGTTGTTACTTATTAGAAATACAACAAAACACAAATAAAAAAAGTATGATAAACCGATTGACGAACTTACAATGATAATTAGGCCTAGTTATATTAAATTTAGCGTTTCGCAACTCCATTGGCGCTCCATATATTTGTTGAAAACAAACCGCGACCGAAACGAAGCGCGACCGAAATGATCTGTATTCATAATCCCTGGGTTATATTTATTTTTGTTGTGCCAAAATGAAAGCTACATGGATCAAAATCACATATGACATATTTACATATATTAGGAATTGACAACAAAAGAAGTGAAGAAACTTTATTTTTTCTATTTTTATTCAATTTTTAAACTCATCTCATCGGATTGGTGTTCGATCATTTCCGCCGACACCATAGAGCTATTAAACATTCTTATATTATCTTATATTATTCTTATAATATCTCTATGGCCGACATTCATTTCGCACGCCAAATGTATGGAACGCCAAAGAGGCCACCGAATATACAACAGCCGCCAATGAGAAGAACGTAGTCATACAACAGATGGATACGTCAAGTAACAAAAAGGAGGAAATATATAAGCCTTGGCCTACAGTGAATAATTAAGAATTTATTTACCGGTATAAAAACATAACGTGATAAAAAAAGAATATTAAAACTAAATATTTATTTAAAGATCCAGTAGAATGTGTGTTATTAATATATAGGCCTTATGCCAAATAAGTAATTATGTATTGTTAGTTTTATTGTACACTATACATTCTCTGATGTGTTTTATGTACAATGTGAAAATGTATGATGTTGATACGTTAGATTAATTTTTCTTGCGTGATAATGAATAAAATTGTAGTATAAAAAAATATGCAGCCATAGGATGTCATTCATACATTTGTTGATTTTGTTTGATGGTTAAGACAGTAAATAATTAAGAATTTATGTAGGCCTACCGGTATAAAAACATAACATATTAAAACAAGAATATTAAAACTATATTTGTTTTTATGTATAACTATGATGACATTTCGTTTGTTGATATGTTTGAATTTTTTTTATTTACTTTCAATGTTGTGAATAAAATAAGAAAATATTTTACACATCTATGTACAACTTTGATGACATGAATAATATAGTGCCCCGCCAATAATGATTTCGAATTTCATACTAAATCAAAGTTGTTTTTTTTAAATTTTTATTACGCCCGCCGCTGCCTTAAAAGTGTATTTTTCTTCCTTAGGCCAGGCCTATATACTATATAAATTTAAAGCATTTAACCATGGACCTATTAATAAGGTCTTACTATTAGGTCCATGATTTTTCTTCAGTAATGAAAATGAACAAAATTTGTAGTGTTAAAAATCGTTTTGTTGTTTCTTGTTTTTTGTGCTTTTTAATGTTTATGGTCGAATAAATAAATGAAAGATGAAATGTATAACTTATACTGCACATGTAAAGAAATTAAAGTTGTTTTTTTTTTTAATTACGCCCGCCGCTGCCTTGAAATCTCCAAAAATAATTTCATATTTCTTCCTTAGGCCTATATATTATATGAATTTAAATTATTTAACCATCTCCGATATGTTTTATGTACAACGTGATTTTCAAATTATATACATTTAAAGCATTTAACCATCTCATTACTACACTGTTTACCAATAAAACAAGATATAAAAGATACATAGTGTTATATTTTTTATTGTACAATGTGTGAAAAACGTTACTACAATCATTGCATAAGGACCAACAACAATTATTAAAATAAAAACTGTTACTTAGCTTGAAGTAGAGACATATAGACCTACTCTACTGTAACATATTTTACATTTTTCTATATAGCTGGTATACAGTATTATGCATAGAAAATTTGCAAATGTATAATTCTTTAATGTTTTTTGTATATTACAGAATACCTTAATAGCGTTGAGCAGAAAAATCTCACCAGAAATCTTGGGGCATGTCCACGCCATTGCGAGGAGGAAGTTTGTCATGGCAAGCTCCTTGAATCAGCAAAATTGCCATCTTCACAACAGGAACTCTGTGACATTGTTGGGTTGGGTGTATAAAGCCAGAACTCCCATCAAAATGGGTTTCATGCGATGTTTGTGGAAGGTGACTATCCAATGGCTCAGTATAAATGATTAATTCAATGGCTAGATGACCTTGGTCAGGAGATATATGCAGAATCCCTAGGATAGGAATAGACGACATACAAATAACTATCCATTATTTTAAAAGTTTGATAATTGTATACAATTGGTATTTACTGTATACCTAGTAAATGTAGACTTGTTTTTTACATCTAACTCATTTACTTTAATTGATTTGCTGGGTTTTTTTCATTTTGTTACACCGATATATGGGATACCTGCAGTAGTGGTGCCCATAATGCAATAGCAGTGCCCATAATGCAATAGCAGTGCCCGTCTAAGGATTAACATATAAAATGTTTTGCTGGGTTTTTTTTCATTACCTTGTCTATTAAAATTTTTTTTTTAACGTAAAAGTATCTTCTGAAAAGATTTGATATGTTCAAATATAAATGATGAATGATACTGTGTGAAAAGATATCCTGACAAATAAAGTATGAACATTAAAAGAAGTACAAAAGACAACAGTTACTGCATTATGTGCAACGCTACTGCAGCTATTATATTTCATATAATCCTTAGATGGGCACCGCTACTGCAGTATTGGCACCACTACTGAAGGTGTTGTTATATTTTATATATTAATAATTAGAGGGCACTGCTACTGCATTATGGGCACCACTACTGCAGGTGTTGTTATATTTTATATATTAATCCTTAGATTGGCACCGTTGTTGCATTATGGGCACCACTACTGCAGGTGTTGTTCTTTCTATATATTAATCCTTAGATGGGCACCGCTACTGAATTATGGGCACCACTACTGCAGGTGTTGTTATATTTTATATATTAATCCTTAGATGACCACCGCTACTGAATTTTGGGCACCACTAATGCAGATGTTGTTATATATTAATCCTTAGTTGGGCACCACTACTGCAGGTGTTGTTATATTTTATATATTAATCCTTAGATGGGCACTGCTACTGCATTATGGGCACTACTACTGTAGGTGTTGTTATATTTTATATATTAATCCTAAGATGGGCACCACTACTGCAGGTGTTATTACATTTTATATATTAATCCTTAGATGAGCACCACTACTTCTATTTTATATATTAATCCTTAGATTTGAAATGATGGCAGTGGTTAATGTCTGAAAATTTGTATTCACCTTAAACAGGAAAAACCTGGTTCTTTCTTTCATCACTACTACATTATGGGCACCACTACTGCAGGTGTTGTTATATTTTATATATTAATCCTTAAATGGGCACTGCTACTGCAATCTGGGCACCGCTACTGCAGGTGCTGTTATATTAATCCTTAGATGGCCACCGCTACTGCATTTTGGGCACCACTAATGCAGGTGTTGTTATATATTAATCCTTAGATGGGCACCACTACTGCAGGTGTTGTTATATTTTATATATTAATCCTTAAATGGGCACTGCTACTGCAGGTGCTGTTATACATTTTATATATTAATCTTTAGATGGGAACTGCTATTGCATTATGGGCACCACTACTGCAAGTGTTATTGTATTTTATATATAATCCTTTTATTGGGTGCTGATACTGCATTATGGGCACTATTGCTGTAGTTGTTAGTTACTGTACTTTACTGGTCCAAGGTACATTATATTGTACTGATCTGCAAGTATGATTAAATTGTTTTATTATTAAGAAATAAATGGTTTTTTTTATTTATAATTTGTGAATGAATAAGTTTTATCACTACATAGCTAGATTTTTGGGTAGGTGTTTTACAGACAATAAATAATGTAAAACCCCATGATTGTGTATTTCTGGGGTACCATGAAACATTTTTAAAACAACTGGGTACCATCAACATCTCGCTATACAATCTTGCTCAAGACAACATCCACCTCTCAGCTCCGCAATCGTCCATAGCGGACTGGTGGCGCTGTTCAAAACTTTCTAAGGATGGTGGTTTGGTGATACTTTCTACACCAGACTAGATTGCTATGGATCAAGGAATCAGGAATCAAGGAACAAATTGTCGAAAATACAACAATTGGACATTTAATTTTTAGCTTGGGGATTTTTTTTCTGAATGTATCATCACGTCAAATCACAAGTTTGTATCATCTAAATGTAATTCACATTAACTTATGGTGCATTTGTGTCAACTCACGGTAATACTCATGTTAATTCCCATCAACTTGTGCTAATTTGCGTCAACCTGAGCAAAATATGGATAAAAATATAACACATGGTAATACATGTGAACATACATGCTAATTTGCATGCTAATTTGCATCAACTTACACCAACACATCAGCACATCCTTAGAATGTGGTCACTTCACTACAGCAACTTTTAGCAAAATTATTAAATCCAATGACCTAATACTGGGGAGAAACCCATAGTTTAAGAACTGCCATTTTATTATCTACTTTACTATTTTATGATAAAATAAAGATTGAAACATTATAATGACAACACAACAAATTATTATATCCAATGACCCAATACTGGGGAGAAACCCATAGTTTAAGAACTGCCATTTTATTATCTATTTTACTATTTTATGATAAAATAAAGATTGAAACATTATAAGGACAACACAACAAATTATTATATCCATACTCATTTCAATTCTTTATTCATGTAGTTCATATGGTATCTCAAGTATAATATGTACAATCTTTAAACAGGTTATATTTCAAGAGGATTAACAGTTCTTTGTACATGGGCAGGTTACCAAGTTTCCCAATGCATGACTTGAGAGAAAACCAATTATGGTAGTGAATATAGGAAGAAACCATGTCTTGTGACCCTGGGCTCACAACCCGGAGCATGTGACCCAGAGAATGTAACCTAGGGGTCGTGACCAGGCTATGTGGCCCAGGGACTGTAAACTTGGGCTTATGACCCAGAGCTTGTCTAGCAAACTGGGCCACTTTGCAGTGTTCATTAAATTTGCAGCTCATCTAAACTAAACATACTCTATCAATTACCGTATTATAACATGCATTTAAACATTTTAAATTTCTTTGTAATTCATGTTTTTTTTTTGTCAGATAAATCTAAAATTATGAGAAAACTTTGAACTTCTTAGTAAAGAGACAACTGCATAAAAACCAGAAACAATTCATTATAAATTTATCATCGTAATTACAGTTGATACAAAAGATGATTGAAATCCTAGAATTAACGTTCAATAATATTAAATAATGGAGAACATGCTCAACCTCATTAAAATCATAATATAATTTATGATCACAGTTTGAGTTATCATGAAACTCACAAACAACTTACAACATTGTGGTAATATGAAGCTGGTATTAAAAAGAAATCCAAACTAATTCACACACAATTATGTAAATTGGATAGATATTGTAATATGCAAATAGATATACAAAATTATAAACAAAAGTAGTTAACATTTAAAAAAATATTGTTACTCTTAAAACGTTAACAAAATATGTTTATGTAAATTATATTCATTTATGTTACTATTGCCAATCTTGAATGTGTATACAGAAATTATCAGGAAATAAAGTATACTATATATATATATA